CTAGGAATACGCTGAACTAGGGGTGAGCAGGACATCGCTCTACCCGCTCACCCGGTATGACCCGATGGTGGTCGGGCCTAAAAAGAGTCAGGTCTCATCGGGTCTAGGGCCGGGTTCACAAATTAGACTCAATCAATATTTAGGGTCGGATAAGGACCAAACAGGACTCGTCCCGACCCGTCCCATTTTCACTTTCTCAAAATGTTTGTATATGTATATGTTCAAATATATACAGAGTAATGATACTTTTTGTCAAAAATATCATATATTCTCTAATTTTTCATCATATATACATGTTTAATAATATATATACACATATATTATTTTATATATCAAATTACATATTCACAATAATAAATAATATTTAGAAGACTATATATAAAATGAGTATACCTTATATTTAATCGGGTCTAGGGTCGGGTCCGGATTCAGAAAAATGGTCCGAACAACATTTAGGACCGGGTAAGGATAAGCTTTAACCCGCTCCAACCCGGCCCACGCTCACCCCTACGCTCAACTAGTGATCCACAACTTTCAAATGCAACTCCTGAAAGTGCTAGTAACATTTTCGAGATGAATCTTTTAAGGACAAAACTTAGGTACAATTCCTTAGGTACAAATGATGTTAGTAGTCTATTAAAAGGTGACAATCGTTCACTCACCACCTAAACTTTGAAGAAAGAGATTCTTAATTGCAAAAAAGAAAGACTTAATGATATGAATGAACACGTGTCACGTTTTAATAGGCTACAAACACCATTTATATCTAAGGAATTATACCTAAGTTTTGTCCATCTTTTAATTGTTCTTTAGTTGCTATTTTTTTTACCAATACACCAAATTTCATTAGAAAACTAGGAACATTACAATAGAGGAAAGAAAAAGAAATTCAGCAGAGTACTTGACAGCCCTCTATTACACAGAAAATAAAAACAAATCAGCCTAAGATAGATCCCAACGGCAGAGCAATGACGTGGATTAAAACAGAACAAAGATAATTCTCAGTAAAGTTGAGGCAGTTGCAAAAAGAGTATAACCCCATTATGATCAAAACCATGCCCAATATCATACCAACTTTCAAAGGTTTACCAATAAAGAATGCTTCTGAAAAGGCTACAAAAATAAGAGCCAAATGATTGAAGATTGGGGGATAAGTAGGACCTTTAATTGTAATTGTCCAAGATATTAAGAATTGTTATTTCTTTGATTTTCCAATGTACTAAAAACATAATAGTTATATCTAAGATAATTACTCTTTTATGACCTTAACACATCTTAGAAAATAACTACAGCAATTTACCACACAATACATGATCTATTAATTATGCTAAAAAAATGAGTAAGACTCATCTCAATTACTTAAAAGTACATTCCTATTTTTAATGTATTTTTAAGGTTAAAAAAATAAATTCAATTTAAATTAAAAATACAAGTGCAAATGAATTTAAGCTTTTGAATGCTAATATATAATAAAGGCCGTCCTTTCAACATTAACAGACATTTGAGAGCACTCATTTGTTGATAGCAATTGAGATATATAATAAAGAGTCCTCTCGAGAAGACAATTATTAAAAAAACATTGAAAAATTAAATTATATTAACATTTATACACTTTAATTTATACTTATATTAAATCTTAATCCTTAAAATTGTGCTATAAACTAGGACTGCTCTCTCCCGTTATTGGGGAGGAATTCGACTCATAATAGAGCCATCGTTTCAACCAAACATGCATGGCAATATAATATATCCTTTTCTAATTAAATTGGATCAATGGCAATCATTTGGTTTATTCTAACACTTTTTAGATTACTGAATGTAACTTACATCAGAAACACAAATTCTTTGATTATTTTGTATTTGTATTAGCACTAGGAAGTATACTCCTGCTTCTTCTCAAAACCAATTGACAACGAGAATAGTAGTCTAATAAGTATTTAAATCATTCCCGATACAATGAGGTAGGCGATGTGGGACTTACTTCCCAACATGCCCCCTCCACATAAGCTTGCCGGACCAGACAAAGGATTACCTTTGACCCATAACTAAAGGGAATCTTTTGGCCCATAACAACCGGGAAGAAGTTGGGCTCTAACTCTGATATCATGTTAATGTTCCATTTCAAAACCAATTGGCTATGAGAGGAGTAGCTCAACAAGTATTTAAATCATTCCCAATACAATGAGGTAGGTGATATGAGACTTACTTCCCAACAATAATCATTCAGGAAAATACTAATTAATTATCAATATAAAACAATACATTTTAATCAAAATACTCCTAACAGGTTTAATTGTCACATTTAGTGGATTACCTTAATGAATATAACTCAATTCCCATCCTCACTTTTAAATAACAGGTTTTTAATGGGTGGTCGACATTTCATTAACGCAACCTTAATGGATATTGTGTATACACTTAGAAAAACATAGAACAAAAAAGGAGAATATATATATTTGTTTTTAAAATGGTGTTAATTATATACGTAAGAATTAATTTAATTTGTTGAGATAGCTTGTAATTATTGGATTAAAATGGGGTCCAACAAAACTGTAACTTTATCTTTGGAATGTTGTCTCCAAGTTGCTTACAACATTGTAATTAAATAATGAAGGATTGGGAACTATGACACGTGAATCCATGTGAAGATGTTCTCAAGTTGCAATGTTCAAGGATACATAGAGTATTGTAGTTGATTAAATCATATTACTTAAGTAATGTCTTGGTTTGTTTTACCTTATCTCCAAATAAATAAAAGAGAATAAAATATATGCTCATACAATAAAATAAGTTATCTTCTTATATAAGCGCTTACTATCCAGCCTCAAACTTCCCATGAGTAGAACCAATGTTGCAAACATCTATCCTTCATTCTCTTGAATTCTAAGCCACCTCTACTTCAATTCCCTAGCAAAGAATCATTATATTAAACTAAGATAAGTCTCTAACTCTAAACCACCATATTCATAATTAGTTAAAGTTATAGTGAAGCAGAAAGATGTTTACAAATTTCATAAAGCTAAGGTTTAATGTAAGATTGTGTACTTCATATCATCTGTATAGACACTTTTTGTATAATTATAATATATAAACGTATATGTACCTATAGTGAATATATACATATTATTATAATCTAGCTAGCATAAGGGTTTAATTGTAATAAATTAATTATGTAAAAATATCTCGATTATCTTATAGTAAGTGTGAGGTATAATGTGAGAAGAATATCCATGGGATAAGTATTAATTATAATGGCCAGCTAGTTAATAATTGTCCCAATAAGATTATATAATATAGGGTTGTGGTCCCTAATTAACCCATTATATAAAAAATTAGCTATAAGGTTCTCATCACCTAGTCATATGCATGAGTTAGAGGATTGCAAAACCTTCAGTTTTCATTAGACAGCAGAACCCATACCCCACTATTTTTTCTAATCCATTTAGGTTTGCTTTAGCTTTTCACATTCTTTTTTCACAATCTTTCTCTGGGTTTGATGTTGGTTTGTGGGTTATTTGGATTAATTATCCTCAACTGGTATCAAAGTCAATTTTTTAATAATATTTGAGTATTTACTCCTATTCATATATTGTATCAATATTATTTTAGAAATATTGTAATAAAACTAATAAGGAGTACGTTTGATTGATTTTGAACTCTTATGTATCTTTCAAGATAAAAAAACCGTAATTGTTCGATTATTATAAGTGACACTTGTTAGGTCATGCATAATCAAACAGACAAAATTATTTGTTCCATACGCATATTGTAATAATTAAATAAATGCATTTCTCTTTCTTTCATAAGAACATGAACTTAGTTACCTTTTAAGGAATTATGTTAAGGCTAAGGGTGTACTGGCATTCAAAATGAATATTGTTTTAGTCCTGTATATATTATTTTAAAATGGTACGCTTTTGGTTTCTTTGTAAGATCACCAAAACCAATAAGGCTACCAAAAATCAAGGGTCAATATTGAATACGTTCTATGTCACTCCAAAACAGCAAATACATGATCATCCTATGTTCATACCTTCATTTTTTATTCAAGTAATGGATCCTATGTTAATGTACTCAAAGAGACACAGGAACAATAATATTTACACAATATTAATATAATTTTTTTATAAATACTTAATATATCATCTAGTATTCATTTATATTACTTATATTTAAAATTAAATAGTGAATATAGTATAATATTTATTTACTATTAATGTAAAGATTTAACAAAATTATTATATTATTTGCTGTTGATTTGGAATACGTTTTTGAAATGTGAATGATAATTAAATATAGGACAAAACTAATGTACAATTCCTTAGGTATAAATGATGTTTTTGGCCTATTAAAAAGTGACACTTGTTCATTTATATCATTATGTCTTTTTTTTTTGTAATCTCTCTCTTCAAATTTTAGGTGGTGAGTGAACATGTGTCACCTTTTAATTGACTACAAACATCATTTATACCTAAGGAGTTGTAGTTAAGTTTTGTCCTTAAATATAAATGATGAATTATGTAATAACAATATATCAAATTCATATACTACGAGTACATATATTTTTCTTCTTGATGAATAATATATTAACGATGTAAAAACTCGTAGCGTATGGATCCATACGATCATAAGTTGTTTTTACTCTAAATAGACATATTTTAATTTTAGAATGTAAGACTTTGGACTAGGCATATAAAGCCAAGAGCTTATGTCCGTCTGTCTGTATTATTTTTGGAAAAACCAATGTTTTCAATCAGTTACGTATTTCTTGGAAAAAGGGTCACAGCTTTTAGCGGCAATCTTAATCCAGCTATAGGCATGGACAGAGAAAACCAGAACACGTGTGTGTGAATGACAGAAATAGTGTTTGGGTGGATCTTTGATCAAATCATAAATCAATATACATAGAAGAGAGCCATATATGTAACCAAACAGAAACTGCTTCAACTGGAAAAACAGCAATTTATGTAAGATACACCCCACCAAACTTATATTATAGATCACTGTGATGGAGATGTGTACATGCGACAAAGGGGATGTAAGTTTAGGGATTTCCTAAAATGATAATTGCAATAATCTAAACGTTTTCTAAATTCATACTAATATGAATCTATTCAGCTCCATGTTATTCATTTCAATTTATGTGGTGTATATATTTATTTCTATAGGTTCTTGAAGATGTTTATAATTTTCAACCCAAGTATATGGTGAGTTGTGATGGCAATAGGGTTGAGTAGGTACTGTTTTCCAGGCTCATACTCCCAACTATTTGTGGGTATTTATATGGATTGGGAATATTTTTTTGGCATATGGACAGTGAGGATTGCGATTACTCAACGAGTTTTTAATTTTAATTTGTAATAATTAATATATGTAAAATAATTATTATATGAGTTTATTAACTTTTTAATTAAATTTATTGGGTTTTAGCCTAAACAATTTGAATCTGGATCCTCTCCAGTACTGAATAGTCTAGTACTGGATGAGATCATAACATGTGACATTTGATATTTTTTAATGGTTTTGATTTTAACTTAAAATTTTATTGCAAATGAGAGTATCTGAACTCAAACAATTTGGCACGTATATAACAAAAAGTGTGAAACAACTTATTTGATATGATCTATGCAGCATTCAGGATTAAACAAGAATTCCTAAGGAGATATTGGAAGCAACCCTATTCCATTGTGCATCTATGGAAGCAAAATTCCAGATGCAGAAGATGGTATTCATAAACCCTAAAAGTGGTCTCATTTTCTACCCAGAGCAAAAATGAGCCAAGGTGAAAGAAGTAGTAGTTGATGTTTAAGCACTGCAATATCAACCCAATACTTTATTAAGTGTAAGCATGGAAACACAGGACTTACCATCCCATAAGATAAGTCACACCCTTCCTAGCACAAACTTCATCATATCTTGTATGTTTAATCATTTGATATAGCATCATATTTTTAAACTTTGAAACCCATGAAGTGCATCTATAAGATAATATAACATAATAATAAAGAAACCAAATAAATACAGAATCAAGAGATTTATAAATTAAAGGAAGAAAAATATACCACTTGATGATGAAAAAACAACTAAACTATTCATAAATATATTAAAAAGACTCTCATGATCATCTTTTTTATTCCAAACACAGAAGCAAAAGAGGAAAGTAAAGTTCATAATACATATACAATGATAAAATTTCACATGCTTCCTTCCTCTTATCACATTTCTTGAAACCTATATTATTTGTACTCTTAACTTTGTAACTCTTTCAATTGCAGTCTTTCAAAATACAGCACATGATTATAAGCAGATTTGAATTTGATTAGATTTCTACCTCTCTATCTTTCACAGCTCAATAAGGTGGCCTTCCATGAGCCCAAGCAAAAGCTTCATGCCCCATTTGCCCTCCATTATGCAACAGATTTGGTGGCAGATTATATGAAGGAAGAGATACTGATGAATCTGGAATCTCAGCCTGTTGCAACTGACCCCCACTCATGCTTCCTATTCCCGGTGGCCGCGGTGGTGATAATCCAACGGTGCCGCCATCGTGTGAGGCCACAGCACCACTTGGCCCCTCATCGTTGTTATCATCAAGTGGCAATCTCTCATAAGTTGCATTAGAAAAAGTTGCAGCAATGATCATAACAGGTCCAGCAGCTACTAAAGACCCAACAACACTTCCTCCCAAAACCTGACCTTGCCCTCCATTAAGGTACACCGTGAGTCCGGTGCACCCGGGAGGGGAAGGTCCAGGTAAGAATGCACCAGTTAAGGTTTGGATCTCAAACCTGCCATGAAGTGCAACAGCACCACCTGGAGCAGATGGTTGTCTAAGGGTGACATTAGCCACAGAGCCACTCCCACTAAGGACACATACCCCACACTGGCGCCTCCTTGCAAATTGTGCTACACATTCAGCAACATCAGCACCTGCAGCTATCTCCATCACATGGCTTTTTAGGGCATTTGGGCTGTCCCTTGTCACAAAGATTGGTGGTTTTGGTTTGTTCTTTGATCCAGCTGGTCTTCCCCTTGGTCTTCGGTTTCCAACTTCAACTGCACCCTCTTTTGGTTCTTGATCATCCCCCTTGTTGTCTTCATCTTCGAGATCTCGGTTGTTGCCACCGCTATTTGTTTCGTTGATTGTGAGGTTCGTCTGGGGTTTGCTCATGAAGCCAGGTGAATGGCTTCCTGAGTGGTCAACCCCAGATAACCCCACCTGACTCGTCCACCAAGGGTTAGCCAGAGTTGCTAGCTTGGTGGTACAAGATTCAGGATAAGGTCAAGATCAAAGTATCAAATTATAGTCCGCAACTGCGATAGAAACTAAACTAAAGAGAAATAGTAGATTAGAAGAGAAGATGATGGTAATGATATATGACCTAGAAAGCAATATGCTAGATTGTCTTTCGTTCCCTAGGTAGCTAGTTTTCTTTTCACTTGTAGTCTCTTAAGAATCCAAATTGAAGAATAGAAAGGAAAAATGTCAAACCCTCACAAGAAACAAATTAAGGGCTAAACCTAACATATATATGTTTCTCACTCTCAGGGAAGAGGGTAAAGGAATGAGATCAGGTTCCTGGAAGAGAGAGTTAGATTCAGTTACTCAAAGGGAATCAAGTATAAGTCATGGGAGAATTTAATCAAAATGGGTCTTTCATGAGTGCAAAGAAACTATCAAGAAGGTATTCTTATTTATTTATATTATGTATCTTTATTCTTTTGATAAGAACATGAATTGATCTTAGTGGAGAGAAGATGGAACAGATGAGAATCCATTCACAGAATCAAGCACAAATTAAAGAGCAACTACAAGAGCTGAAATAGAGAAATTAAAAAGAATATAAACTTGAGAAAACCCAAGCAAAAGGGTGAGGTGAAGCATAGAATTGAAAAATAGGACAGACTATCTAATAATACGATGTAGATAGCAAGAGAAGAAAGAACACAAACCGTTAACTAGACAAGATCATAGGAAAATAAATGTTATTGAAATTGGTTTTCTTTCTTGGTGTGAGCTGTGTTGTGATTTAGGAAGCTACTATATTTTTGTTCACACTTCAAAAAATATTTTTTAATCTTTGGTTTGTCTTTTTTGTAGCAGGCTTTTGTACACAATATATCCTAGCATAGCAATCAAATAAATGATATAGAATATAAAAGAATTTATTAATGGGTTCAACCAATTATATCTACATTCCTAAAATTATTGAGAAATACTATAATATTAATAAAGAATAAATATTATAAACTCTAATATATATACTCATGGATCCAAATGACCACATGAAGTGTTTATATTTGGTGTGATATGCTTATATGGTGCACACATTATAAAAAGTTTGAGTTAAATATATAATATTAATTACTCTAATCTATTAGACAATATAATGTCTCAAATAATATATTTCAATCATCTTCAAAGTTTTGCATAATAGAAAAGTTGGATTCTACTGGAAATGAAAAGAATCATTTTCAAAGAGATAAACTATTGTATTTGCTTTTACATTTAATATTAAAAGTGTTATTATATTGCATTTAAAGAGGAAAACTGTCACCTTATCATATTATTTTTTCTTATATTTTTTTTATGTATTTTACTCTCTTTAAATATCCTTACAAAGTTAAAATCCTAAAAACAATTTTATTCTCAACTTACAAAAATGAGACTATAGGATTATGTATATTTATCTTCCTCGCATTCAAAAAACTCATCATTATTGTTGGGAAGTAAGTCATGCATAGCCTAACTTAATGTTTCGGGAATAATTTAAATATATGTTGAGTTACTCATTTATTGTTAATTGGTTTTGAGATAGAATCTGAACATGAGCCAGAACCCAACTTCTGGTTATCATGAGCCAAAAGATGCTATTTAGTCATAGGTCAAAGATAACATTTCGTCTGGTCTGACAAACTTATGTGGAGGGCGCATGTTGTGAAGTAAGTCATACACCACTTATCTCATTGTCTTAGAAATGACTTAAATAACTATTGAATTACCCCTCTCATGTCCAATTGTTTTGATATAGACAATGTAACACAATGGACCACTTCTTTTATTTCGTTATTGGTTTTGGTGGAATTATAACGGGAAATGAAGAATAAGCACTGCTTTTGGAGGTATTGGAAATTAGAGTTTTTTGTTTTTTGTGTGTGGGGTCGTGTGCAACTGGCTAGGTGGGGAGCACGTCGTTCTCTAGGGGCCCGACATGTTAGCAACGTAAGAAGAGTGGGTGAGTGACAGGTTAACTATAGAACATGAACATGATGATAATGAAGACACGGTGAACCTCTTAGCCATTTCATCCCTTGAAACTGAGAGAAGAAGGATCTCATATCCCAAAAGTTCTTGTCTCACAGTCCTAAGCTAATTATATCTCAAAAAGTAGTCGAAACACATTATTTTATGTTTTTATAAAAAAAAATCTTAAGTGGTTAGCATTTTTTTTATTAGAGTAATATACAATGGGATACAAAATGTTGGGACAGATGATCTCTATCCAAACTGAGACGGATCCTCTCCGGTACTGAATAGGAATTCTCATTTAACTCTTGGTTTTAAGGACAATAATGTTATTACAAATATTAATATAGAGATATAATTATCATTATATCTTACTTTTTATTTCATTGGTAGGATCATTGAAACTATATCCTTATTACTCATCGGTCGTTTTCTTCTTTTCATTTTAACTTGGATTACTTATTTCCTAGGAACAAACGGAAATTACGAAATCATACCGTGTAAAATGAATATGACTTTGAGCTATATGATTTTTTTAAACAAGTGTCCTAGAAGTATATAAAAATATAGGGTCAACCCCATCACCACTACTCCGGATTTTTATTTATCGATATAGAATAGAACTCAGATCCATTTGTGAAAAAATAGAGTGAATAAGACACATTACAAAAAAAGGTTTTGGAGAAATAAATAGAGAGTGAAGCATGACTTTTGGAATCAGACTCTAACAATTCTCCTTTTTAGTATAATTTTAAGGATAAAAATGTAATATTAGTGTAAACTAAGGAACATAATTTGGTTTTTTTTATGCATTTTAAGACAATTGTTCTCTCCAATAATGAGAAGGAGTCTGATTTATAAAGTTAACATATTCTTCTCTTAACGTAAAGTTTATTGTTGTTAGTGTTGATGGGTAGAATGTGATTCTATTTTTTATTAAAAGCGTTGTTCTAAGTAATATAAAGGAAGAAATTTAACCCTGGAAAATAAAATTCAACGTTTATTGATATGTTAAAATTATTTTTAAAAATAAAGCCTTCTTATTCTCTTTGTTAAACAATGGCACTAGGCCGGGTATGATAAAGTGAACACTCATTTTAATCCCTAGTAATATTTTAGAGACCAAATTATCTTTTTCAAGAGACTAAATTAATAATAATAAATATGGACCAAAATGAATCTTTATGAAAATACAAATTAAATTAAAAGAGAACAGTGACATTTTAAAACTTAATCTTACTCATTATAAACATAGCCAACATTTATGTAATGATCATAATGCTCCATATAAAAATGTACAAAAAAAATATATAATTATGAGCCTCTAAAAAGTGTATTCCGAGTCTTGTCATATGGAGAAAAATATGGCTGAAAGAGCTAATCAAATTATGTTATGAATGTTTAAAGTACGAACATGATTGCCACCAGAAGAGGATTGGTGTGACTAGATAAAAAAGTGGATGCAACTTGTCCATTATTAATCGAGTAAATAATTACTTTGGTCCCTAATAATG